TATTTTTCGCACACTCCGCACACGCCAATAAATATCCGCACAGCATGAATAAGATCCGTACTTCTCTACTGTAGCAAATTTTGCATGGTTCCATGTCGCATCGCTTGTCACCTTGGACAGATTGTTGTTCGCTGCTAGCTTCTCCTGATGCGGCACTTACTTCTGCGGTATTAGTTTCTTCAGAATAGATCGAGTTTTGAGAGCTTCCGCTAGCAATACTCTCAGCATCGATATTTTTCTCAATTTTCTCGTTCAATTTATTAATTTCAGATAATATGTTTTCCTAAAAAAATAAATAAATAAATAACTTAAAATTAATGTTATTATATCCAACACAATTATTTCATTATTTTTTAAATAGACGGGAATATTTATTACAAATATACAAATTGTACAATTCTAATAACAATATATTTTGTTAAATACTCACTGCTCGTATATCCCTCCCAGAAATGCTGATTAGAAATTCCGTCCCTTTAATTAAATACATATAAGGACAATCTAAGTTAGCGTGATATTCCCAAGGATCATTTTCTGGCGTCCAAAGTGTTAATCCTCCACAGTGACAGCACATTTGATAGCCACTTTCCGTGCAATAGAAACCGGCAGTTGCTAGTGTCTTTTTAGTTTGCGACATTGCTTCAGGCCATCTGTCGAACGAGGCTAATCTCACAGCATAACTGGCATATTCGGGATGCTGCGGTCTTAAGGCCATCGCTATCGCTATTGTCGCCTCCCAACTGACACTTTTGGGACGCTTCGGTCTTGAGGCCATGCCTCTCAATTTACAAATCACTAATCCTTCAGAGAAAGCCTCGTTAAATATTCCACTTTCAATTACATTTACGCCAGGCACAGATGCCGGATCTGTACCGATCGGCACGTTGTCGCACGGAATATTATGACTAAACAGACACCTCCGAGACCATCGTTGATGATAGGCCATCGGATTGTCATCCACCTGCCATTTGCCATATATTTCTATTGGACATTCGAAACATTTCACCTTGTCGCTCTCTCCAGTATAATAAAACCCAGCCGCCGCGAGTTTCTCTGGCTTTATCCATAAACCGCTTATCCATGGCCAATTTTTGAAACTTCTTAACCGAATGAACTCAAATCGATAATCTTCATATGTTTCGTCGAAAAATAAACGAGACCTTAATGGACAGGGCAAACGACTTTGAAGAATCGCGTGTTCGACGCATTCAGTCATGATCTTACTGTTTGTAAGGATGCCCTTGTGAACCTGTAAAGAAGAAATAAATATCAATAGATACTTAAATTTAAATATAATAACAATTTGTCAAAAAAATTTTACTCAAGGTATACTTAACTAACGATATAAACAATAAATACATTATTATTTAATTAATATTTAATTCAATATCCAGCATATATAATTCGGTTTTAACATACATTTTTTTTATTAAGCGGTTTGATAGATCATGGCATACTTTCTTTGTAAACTTTTTGAATTTTTGCAATATCTTAAAAATTGAAGAAAATATAATACACAAAAATGTGCTGTGACGTCATTTCTTATATAAGAAATGACGTCATATCCTTTGAAGTTGCCGTCATCAAAGAAACTTTAGCAAGCTATAAACTTTCTCAAATTTAGGTTTTTTTTTTTAAATTCAAAAAGTACTAAAAATCGGCTTAGATTCTCTACATTAATTATGGATACCGCTTAATAAAAAAAAAATGTTAAAACCGAATTGCTCTGTTTAAAAAATATGTCACTGTATATTGCAAATTATATAAAGCTTTTAAAAATGAAATAACAAAATTCAATTTAACGTGATTTTACAGTTATTTATCTCCTTCCAAACCAATATTCTTATCCGAAACATTTTTTGCCATAACTCTTACTTTTAGAAATAATCGTAACACTTTAAATGTCTCATTCTGTATATACTGACGATGACAAAAGTACAAAGCGTGTTGTTTTTATATTTGTTTTTAATTTAATTTTTAAATTAATATTTTAAACATTAAAATGCAATTCCTGTCTAATAAAGTTATTTACGTTTAAGATGATTAAGAAAATAACGTGAACACTTTGTAGTGTATTTCCCAGTTTGTATATGTTCATCATTATTTCGTCCATCCCCTGTATGTGTGTATGTGTACACTGCCCGTCAACGATTCCTTTTCTGAGGTAAGGGAGGAAACACCAAAGTTCTAGTGATTTTAATAGAAGTAATCAACAGCGTCTCTAGGCTTCTATGTTCTCCCCTTATCTCAGAAAAGGACGGATCGTTGACGGGTAGCGTACATATATACACACCGAATCTTTTATCAGTCTTTATAATGATGATAAGTAGAAAATTTTATAGCAGAATCCGCGGATTATTTATCACATAAATAAAGATACTACGACCAGTACGCTTGTAGAGTACGTTCAAACGCTTACGACATATGCCGCATATTTTCATATTTTTCGCACACTCCGCACACGCCAATAAATGTCTGCACGGCATAAATA